TATGGACATTAGATCACCTCCAAATGTACTGCTGTTAGATCACTAATAACTAGAAGCTGCTACAATATTGTACACATTAGATCACCTCTAAATGTACTGCTGTTAGATCACTAATAACTAGAAACTGCTACAATATTGTACACATTAGATCACCTCTAATTTCTCTCTTAAGGAAGCTCTTAATATTAACTGTCACTGTATACAACTCTCGTATTATCACAGTTATTAATTTGAACAGAGCAATGAATTTAATCTCAACCATATTTTACATTTTTGGCTAAATACAATAAATACTTACCAAGACTAACATCGCCTTTGTAGCATAAAAGTAAAAAATGTAATATTTTAGAATCATATATTAAACATTTCATATGTAATTAACGAACAAGAAAATAAACTAACTGAATACATATAGAAAGTAAAATGGCTAAACTAGTTTTACTTCAGCTGGGTTGGTGTTTAACGATTTTTTACTGGAGTCATGTAAATAGCTTTAAATATTATCAGCTTAAACAATCACCTAAGTTTAGTTACTAGTTATGGTATTACTAGCTATCATTTAGATTACATACTGTATTTGGCTTCTAATGGGGAAAAGAAGGTGTAGGTGAGATCTCACGACATACAGTCCTTCTTTTATTAGTCTGAAGTGCTTCAGTTAATACAACTTGTATCTTTCAAGTCAGCTGTAAACCATTAATGGTTGTACTGTTTTGTACCTCACATGATACACTGTAGAATTATTATTTCAGTTGTTGGTTTCAATTGTCTGTATTTGAGAATACAGTTATTTCTCAATAAAGGTGAAATGTATGGTTACCATAACAACCAAGTTTTTCTTGTTCTTTGCTACTGATTGGTGTAAAAAATAACACAAACTGAAAACTCTGATGGTGATTTTCTTAAATATTCTCCAAAGTTTACATATTTCGGAAACTAAAAGCTTAACTGATTTGCTACTGGCCTAAAGTCACAGAGTATAAAAATGTAAAATTAAAGAAAATGATTGACAGCACTCACATATTAAAGTCATAAAACATGTTTGTTACCTGAATAAGACAGAATCTTCTAACACTCAAACTGTAAATGTATCAGCAAGTGAATTAAATAAAATAAAACTTCTCATGAATTTTTGAAATATATACTTCAGATTTAACAGAGCAAAGTCATATTGGGATATCTGATGTGTCCACTGTGGGTAACTGAACCACAGGCGATGACAGAGTGTGTGTGTTTTGTTATAGGAAAGCCACATCAAACAGCATTACTTTATACTAATATTATCACAAGAAATATACCAACCTAATTCATCACCAGTAGAGAAGGTTGTAGCTCCAGATCGAGTGTCATAATGGCTGTTAGCAAACGACAAGAAGCTCCGCTGTATGCGACGGTGTCGAATTATAAAACAGACTAGAGCTGAAGATAAAGCTATAATGACGATCACAATGGGAACAATGATGCTCACCAGGTTAGATTCCGTCAGCACCACAGAATGAGCATAATGTGTTGCTGTTATAAAAAAAAAGTTGCTCAACATTATGAAACAGAAGAGCTTCTGTAACCAATACTTCAAATTTATAGCTCATCTTACACAAATGGTAATGTATTTCTGTAATTACTACCCACATTTATACACAACACCAACCAACAACATGTACAATATCTGAATTCAGTAAAAACGTAGGATTTGTTTTAATTTCTGTATCTATTAGCTAGCCCAATTTTTTATGTGTGTGATCCCCAGCAAGGTAAGACATACCTGTATAAGGACTTCCTTCACTGGCCACATCCGTGAGACTGCTAGAATAGCCATGTTCTTCCTGTACACTTACAGCAACATAACATAGGGGTTTATCTTCTGTCAAGTGAATAGGGACTGGAAAGTCATACACCATACTTTTGTAACTTGAGGTGATTGTTCGATTTGGCTGAACTAATTTAGTCGCATTCTTCAGATCTTCCCGTGTACTGACCCACAAGACATAGGAGAAACTGAAAAATAAACAAAAACACTTTTAGGAATCTAAAACTATCTGTAAAAGCTCTCTAAATAACACTGTTAAGGATCTGACAGTCTTAGAGATTTTACAATAATTCAAAAGTACTCCATTTATTAAGACTCCTACCTTTAACTCAAAAATGATCCTTTTACAATACAGGATTAATTCCTCACTCAAAAAATGTTACTGTAAACAAAACAATGAACAAATATACACCACACAGACTAGAATTTTCTATTAACAAATGCTAAACAACTTCAAGTATCATTCTGTAATGGAGAATTAATTTCTTACAGGCCCTTTTTAAAATGTTTTCTGTAGGAGTCAAACTACTTAAATCTGTTCTGCAGACATTAATTAATAGAAAATTGTGTTTTTTGCATAGCTTATATATGTTCATTGTGTTATTTGTGTTAACATCTGTTGAGTGAGTTGTATGTAAACCACACTGAACAAGAAATATCAGAAAACAACAACAGGAAACAACTATATAAACATAAAAATTGACAGCTAACTTATCTATATGTCAGTTTCAAAATGCATTATTTGCAATTATCACTGGAATATCCAAAACTCGTCAACAAGGAGACAATATAAATGTTATAATATTTTTTGTGTTAGAAAAACATCTCATGTAAGAAAATATAAACAATTGATAAAAAATACAAGTTCTATTTAAAAAAAATCTGGTAAAAAATAATAAATCATTGACTTTTTTGAAAACCATTTATTCTTTGTAAACAGATCAAAATTCAACCTTATCTCATCCCCTAACAAAAACTTCTGTTTATCCTAGAAAGATTAGGTCTTTGTTAACGAAGGAGTAAGGGTACCAGAACTACAGAGGTAGGTTTATTGTATACTAGCTGAGTTACCCGGCAAATTTAGATTTGAAATGTATAGATCAGTATTTTTTCAGCAAATTATTCAGAAAGTAGACAAACGCTGTGATGCAAGAAATAAAAAAGCATTTAATTAAACAAAGCTTTATTTGAAATTAGATTGTGTTTGAGCTTGTCTTGTTCTTTGAGCCTGAAGTCATAAATCATGTTGCTCCTCTGTTTCTTGCTCTCTGTAAGTTATTTGTCTTAATTTTTGTGCTTGAAGTCTGGTTTGATAATGTTCAGAAGTTTCTTGTTGCCTATGTCCAGCATGCCTTGATGATTCTGATTGAACTCTGGCTTTGTGCTGTTCAACAGTTTCTTGCTGTCTTTGATTAGCCTGCCTTTTAGCTTGAGCTCAAAGTCTAACTCTACGTTGTTCCAAAGTCTCTTCCTGTGTTTGAGCAGCCTGTCTTGCAGCTTGAAGTCTTTGATTGCATTCTTTTAACGGCAGAAGACTTTCCATAGAAAGGGTGTTTCTTGGGAGGCATAATCACCTGTATCACTAATCAATAATTTGCAATTCACAAAGTTACTAAATCACTTATGAAACCACTTAGCACTATTTAAAGAAAACTGTTTTTGGAAATACTGAATTGACAGCAAGGTGATCTGAGTGTCTCCCGCCATAACGCTTTCTATGTGCAAAACGCGCTTATGTTTGTATGTTTATCACAAAAAAAAAATGGCGCAATAATCATTAATTGTCACTTTCG